GAGGGGGGGGGGGAGGGAAGAGAAAGATGGAGAGAAAAGGAAGAAAAGTTAAAATTTCTTAATAATATTTTTATCGTTATATTATTAAATTAAAAACCTCAAGCTTGTTGATACTTGCAATAACATCGATTCTCATATCATCAGTTAATATTTATTTGTGACTCACTGCGTATTTTATTTTATTTCTGCTAATTTATCTACATTTTAATATTAGTAAATAGAATTATAATATTTTTGTTTTACTTACATCTTTCTCTTAAAGCCATCTGATGTGACAACTCATTAAAACTGCCTTAATCATATTTGTTTTTAATAATATTACAATGCACTATAGAAATTCCTGCTATTCGAAGTTTTGCAATTCACTCAGGATAATTCCCTGTTATCAAGTAATATCAGGTGTACAGATTTAATATTCTATCAGCTGCAAATTGAGACGCACAACAAGAGATGTGTAATCGTCAAAAGTTAAATGCGGCCGATCCATTTTATCCACCAGAGAAGATCCGCAACATTGGTGTAAACACCGGGATAAAACGGCTGACCACATTTGTATCCCCAGGATACAATCCCATAGAGGGTGCCATTGGCGGTAAGGGGTCCGCCCGAATCACCCTCACAGGCATCCGGACCACCGTGCATGTAACCCGCGCAGATCATTCGCTCGGTGACACTTCGGATATGCCAGTATATATTCCGACACGTTTCTCTGCTCACAATTGGAAGCGACACTATCATTAACGTAGTTGATGGCCCTTCGCCTAACTGAAATGGAAAGTCACTTTGCAATGCAGGTGCTTCCGTAACTTGAATTAATTGAAATCAATACGTCTAGCATCTTGATAATCCTAATGTGCTCTAATAAACTTATTGGTAAAGCGTGTTAGGTTTATCAACGTGATCGTATCATTGGGTGTATAATACGCAATGATAATCCCGTCCGCTTTCCTCGGTAAAGTCCAGATACCGGAACCTAGGGACCACGAATCGATATCGGTTATCAGATATCAGCATCGCGGAATTAGTGGAGGATACGTTGCGAAAGTTGCGGTTTTGCGCTAAAACAGAAAGGGAAGTCCGCGGACGAAGTAATTTAACAATGGCGCCGCGATATAATGCCTTTGATACACTCGCAATGTAATTTAGTATCGTTATAAATGAGACGCAGGAGATATCAATTTTTTGGGGGGATTGTATATTATCGCATACTGTGTGGTTTCGATTTCCGATACGAAATAGCGCTCTCGCAAAATCTTGAAATTGCGTTCGGGCGACCGGGGAAATTCGCTATTATTTAGCTCCATTTGTTTCCCGCAACGTTCAGATAATGAGTCTATTGCCCACGAACTCACCTTCATTGCGCCCCATCCGGTAACGTTCACCATAACGCCGTTCGCGAGTTCCTTTTCTGCCAGCTTCACTGGTTGCACCCTATCGTTAAATGTGATTTCGCCGTCGATCTGAAATGATATTTCCACCATGTGCGAAACCAATGTTGTTATTGTCAGCTGGCGCAGGTCGTTAACGAGCAAAAACAGAGATCGAAGTGAGAGGTGAAAAAAAAAGAGGGAAAGAGAAGGAGACAGAGTAGGATATTACATACCTCGAGAAGGGCGATGTCGTAATCGATCGTAATCCCATTGTAGGCGGGATGTCGAACGATCCTCTTAACTCGATAATAGACGCCTCCATATTTGTCGTTACTTCCGGCGTTAAGTCTGTAAACGCTGGCCGACAAACTGCAATGCAACGTATGTATGCAACGTATGTTATATGAAAATACCGTGATAATAACCACACGCTGTGCGAACTATAGTGTGACAGTATCGACAGACTGTTTATGACAAGTTACTCTATCACATTAGCAATAGCGAGGCAAATAATCGCTTAACCAATTGTACGCAATAAATCTTGCTTACAATTCTCAAACTTTTATCATTGCCATATAACGTGACGATTGCATTCGGATGCGAACTTAAAGTAATATTCTGTTTTAAATAAAGATTATTTTATTACCAATAATCAAGAGTTATAATTAGTTTGTGATTGAAAGCGGGAAAATGGGAGTTTACCCTAAAAGGGTTTCTTCTGTTTTTGAGTTTTAATTAATTGATTATAAATCTGCACATTAAGCAGCAACTGAGTGCGCGGTAAACACAGATGCGCTTGACAAATTGTATTATTACAGAGAAATTCACGAACTTTATTATCTTCTTCTATCTGTCCAAGGTCTGTATACCATTAGAGTATACAGGAAGAAGGTAAATATGACCCTGATAATAATACTGCAATTATATTTGACATTTGATAAAGAGTATTAAATTAGTTGGAAGACATTTCAAAGATAAGGATAAAGGTTATTAGTGTCTTATGAAGATTTAGGTTTTAGCTCATAATGAGATAATGCGTATCCAAGAAGGAAAGAAATATACCCGACGCAATGAGCCGCCGTGACAACCCATTTATTATTGATGATGACGGCTCCGCAAGTATGCCGTAAACTTCGCTGGAGGCTCAATTGATAAGGATGTTGCCTTATGTCAGTTTCCATGCCTCTCGTGATTCGAGGGTCAAGAGGGGAAGCCGGTCGCACCAGGAAGGATGCTGTAATATTAAATCTGATGGTGGAATTTGTCTTGGGTCGCGCCTCAGCAAAAAGTTGGCCCCAGAATGCGGCGGATATGTAAATCAGGTCGAAGATTCGGTCGACTTTATTACGCGCGATAGACCTTTTAAACTTTCCTCTCCGGAATGCGTTGGATAATAAAATATGTGGCTAAAGAAGAAGTTTTGTTATAATTTGTACTGATTTGACTTTATCATACTCAATAATTCATCGCAGCTTTAAGCTTAAGTTTTTTAAATATAAATATGAAATTCAATATTTAAATTTGCAAATTCGTATATATTTATATATGAACTTGTTCATACGTACATATACATATACATACATGCATACGTACATACATACATACATACATACATACATACATACATACATACATACATGCATACATACATGCATACATACATACATACATACATACATACATACATACATACATACATACATACATACATACATACATACATACATACATACATACATACATACATACATACATACATACATACATACATACATACATACATACATACATACATACATACATATATACATAGACATACATACATATATACATAACATACATACATACATA